CTTGCCTGGGAAAGGGGTCCTGGGGGAGCCCAGAAATGAAACGGGAGCAAACTGCGAACCAGCAGCCCTAACAAGACTTGACATGGGAAAAATAAGCAAACAGTAATAATACATGTGGAATAATACACTCCTCCCCATTCATATCTCTGGAGATGGGGATTACAGGAGACTTTCGCTTTCCATGACATCAAAACCAAAACATTATAAAACGGCTATATTGGTAATTACCAAAAAAAAAAAAAAAATTACTATTTCTTTTAAAATTCTGGCTGGGGAGGGCCAGGTCTTCCTTAACCAAAAGCCGAGGTGACAGGTAGATGCAGGGAGGCCTCGGGCAGAGAACAAAGGACCGTGACCTGGGATTCTAGGATCTGGTTCCAGTCCCACATCCCTCCTTCCTTCCTGAACTCTTGGGCAAGCTGCTTCCTCCCTCTGAACCTCAGTTTCCACATCTGTAAATAAGGGACAAAGGCCACTGCCTGAGTTTCCTCAAATGGCCAGAGGAAATCATTGATAAGGGTGTGTTTTATAAATTATAAAGTAGTCCATCCAATGCCACTCAGGTTATGGAACACGTCCTGGGACATACTCTGCTAAGTGCCTTCCCTCTATCAACATATTTAATCTTCAAAATACCCTACAGGGAGGTAAGGTGCTAAAATTATTGCCTTTTTACAGCTAAGGAAACTGAGGCTCAGAGAGGTAGGGTGACTGGCCAACAGTCCCTCACTGAACACATGACAGCGAGGCCTCAAACCCGGGTCTGACTATGAAGTCTGGGTCCTTAACCAGTGCACTCTCCTGCCTTTGGGAACTGGTTTCCAAAGTGCAGGCCAAGGAACCCTGGTGCCCAATGGTGTCCACGTGATCAAATAAGCATGGGGACACACAACATGCTGGCTCCCCCTCCGAGCCTCCTCAAGCTCACTCCGATGCAGTCAAGGCTGAGAAGTCCTGCAGCAGGGACAACTTGTTTCCCAGGGTTATCCAACCACTGTGACCACAGAAACTGGTGTTCCACGGAACACACCTTGGGAAATGTGGTCAGATCAGACGGACAAGATCTGCGCTGAGAGAGCAAAGAACAGAGGTGCACAATGAAACCTAACATTGGCATTCGAAGTCCAGCAGCCACATCCTCCTCCGCCGGCCACTGAGTCGGGAGAAGGAAGAAGCTTTCTGTCTCCTGCCACCTTTGCCCTAGATGCCCCGGATCTATAGTAAGAAGAGTAAAGGACTGCAGAGATGGATACTGCCCTTTGCCCCCTAAGCTGGGAAAGGCACCTGACTGGAGGCTGGCCTGGAGGGAGAGGGGCCCAGTCCTTACCCCGCGGACGGCTCTGCTATCTGCGTGTTGGCTGTCGGTGCTGAGGCTGGCCCACGTCTGTCTGGGCAGGGTCTTGGCATTCCTCTCGCTCCATGGAAGCCGCCTCCCTACGAGGAAGTAAGAACTACTGTCAGCAGGGATGTGTGACTATCAGAGTTACCTGCTGTGCTGCCAACATTTTCTGAGTGCTTGCTCAGTGCCAGGCCCTGGGCTGGGCTCTTGGAGTGACAAGAGAGAACCAGACAGGCTACTGGGAAATGCCAACAATTACCGTTGGCTGTGCGGAGCCCAGGGCTCCACTGGGCGTACCTGGCAGCTACAGGACATGGAAGAAGCACTAGACCCAGACTAGTGGGGTGAGAGAAGGCTCCCTGGAAAAGGTGTTGCCTGAGTTCACTCCTGAGGAAGAGAAGAAGCTGGAGAAAGAGCATTCCAGGCATAAGAAACAGCACAAGTTTGCCTGGAAGGGAGAGAACATGACATCTAGACAATGCTGAGTGGTTCACTCTGACTAGATCTCGGACTGGAGGTGGGAGATGGCTGGACAGGAGCCACAGTGGGGCGAGCTGGGTCCAGGCAAAAACATAGCCTCAGCCCAGACACACGAGTTTGACTCAAACACAAAATCCAACCAGCCCCTATTAGTCAGGGAGCATTTAGTGAGCATCTACTACCTCCCAGGCACTCTGCTCAGAACCATTCACAAGACTCAAAAGGACAAGTCAGCAGGGTGGGGAGAGAAGTGTGATTAGACCACAGTAGGGGTGGGGGCGGGGAGTATCTAAACCACTAGGAGTTGGGATGGTGGCTCAGCCACCGGGGAAAGGCCAAAGGATAAGCAGGAGTTAAGAGGAAGGAGGGAGTGCAGGTGGGGAGTGCACGGGCAGACAAAGGGACCTGAATGGCTCTGGGAGGCACTGTGGAGCCTTTTAACCACGTTTACCAGTAAGCATTTCATGCACCTACTCAGTGCTAGGCATCGCGCTGGGAGGAAAGAAGCAGAAGACAGTCCCCAGCCTTGAGGAGAGATAGGTCAATAACCTAGTAAACCCACACAGGGTGACGGCAACTAGCAGTAAAGCACCTAGAGCTGTATAGACCGGAGAGGCCACTAAGCCAGACTCTACCCCCACCCTGTGCTCCTCAAGGACGGGGTCCCCACTCAGGCTGGGTAGCCCAGTCACCTGCCCATGGCACAGCCTGAACCAGAACTCAGGCCTTGGGACTCCTGTCACTGATGCTTCTAGTCCTCCCTCTTCCAGGAAATACACACTGACCACCCCCAACATATTCACCCAGAGCTAAGGCCTTCTTCCTCTGTAATATTTCTATTATTATGCTGGCCACTGTGTCAGTGTTTTCCTGCATGCCTCTCCTCCCAGACTGCAGCTCAGAGGAGGCCAGGGACTGTGTTCTCTAGCATCATTCTTGGTCCAGGCCAGGCACCTACTAAAGAATGGCTCAGTGGATGAATGGACGAATGAATGACTAAAGGATCGAGGGATGGAGAGATGGTGTGCTGGGCTCTAGGGCCCCACACCTATCTCACCTGACTCCTCATGAGGTCTTAGACCATTAACCCGTGCCTCAGTGTCCCCATGTGAAAACCTGGAATCACCTCCACTCTCAGAGGAGAGGTAGCCAGGAACCAGGCTGATCCCTTCCCTCCAGCTCCTACAGGTGAGTTCCAGCCCAAGCCAGGCAGCAACCCAAGACCCAGCAACTTCCCCAAATTCTGACCCAATGGGGCAATCCTCAGGATCCCCCTCTGTCCAGAAAGGCCACTCAAAGTTTGCAGAGGAAACTGGTGGGTGTGCCCGAGGGATGGAGTACAAAAGCACATCATTGAGTTGGGGAGGAGGGCAGTCACAAACATTTCTTGGGCCCCTGCTCTGTACCCTGGAAGGCAGAGGGGCATTAGACCAGAACCCAAAGCACCTCTAAGACTGGGAACACAGGAAGACAGAGGCCGGTCATTCATGCCCCAGCATCTCTCCAGTCCGCCAGCACAAGTCATCTGTCCTTGCCTCCCCTCACAAGCCAGAGGAAGACCTGACCTTCATGAAGGCAATGTCAGTGTGACTGAGCCACGGGCACTGCCCAGTCCCTCTGAACAAACTCCCACTCCCCCATTCCCTCCACAGGAAATGTCACCAACAGCAGACCTCCTCCTCCTGCCTCCAGTCTGTCTGTCTGTCGGTCTGTCTGCTCCGAGAGGTTAAAGAAACTCCTAATGGAAAAGGTGGGTGAGGCCCATGGGAGCCTTTCAACTCACCAAATCCCTCCTCCACAATTTAGGCCCAAATTCCCTTTCCCTCACAAGCTCTCTCCCTCCTCATCCTCACACCTCATCCTCAAAAGGCTTCATGGGATAGAGCCGGGGAAGAAGCATGAGGGGAGTGTGGTCAGCCCCACCCTTCCAGCCAAGTCCTAATCAGAAGGGTGTCGGACACCCCCCAACCATCTCTCCTCCTTCCCAAAAAAGGCAGTCCGTAGTTGCATCAGCTGAGCACCAGCCCAATCTTGGTTCACTCCAGTCCAGACCAAGGGGAAAAAACAGTCAACAAATGAAGCAGAATCATCGTGAACCTCAACCACCCTGGCCATGCTCCTTCAGCCCGGGAATCAACTTTGCTGGATCTCCAGCCCGGACCTCATCAGATCTGGCTCTCAGGCCCGTACAGATGCACAGGGCATGGGCAGGACTCGGGGCCTCAGACCCTGAACCGGTCTTCCCGGGAACCCCAGTCCACAGGGGCCCCAAGATCTTAGCCAGGGATCCTGCCCCCAAGTCAGGGCACTGTTCCCGCTCGATCAAGAGGAGGGAAGGGTCCAAGGGAAGTCGAGTGGGCCAGGAGCCCAGGAGAAGAGAACCGGGGAAACCATTCAAAACGGAAAAAAAAAAAAAAAAAAAAAGCGAGGTTCCAAGGTGGAACCTCTAGGAAGTGGGGAGTGTGTGAGTGTAGGGGTTAGGATCTGGGGGAACCCAGGGGATGACAAGGGGACCTGGGGGAGACCAGGCGGAAACTCCCGGTATGTAGAGCGCAGGGAGGCACTGGGGTGCTTGGGAGGGGGCTCGCGCGCCGCGGCACCGGGAAGAGGGTGGGGCCCCGGAGACCTGGAGTACGGGGGAGCCAGGAGGGAGGCCGAACTGAGCTGCCGCGGGGGGCCCCCAGGGAGCCCGCCGCGGCGGGCAGAGCCCGAGCTGCCCGAGACGCCCGGGACCGGGCAGCTGGCCGGGGGCGTGTAGGAGTGGGTTTCGAGAAGTGACAGCTCGTGCCCCTTTCCCCGCCCCACCCGCTCACCTGGTCCCGCCCGGTCCGGCCGCCCAGCAGGCAGCCCCGCACCCCCGCCGCTCCGTCCCGCCGCCGGCCGCTGCGCCCCTCCGGCGCCTCCTTTTGTTTGTCCCTCACTGCACCACTCAGCCTCCTCCGCCCAGGAAGTGACGTCACCACAGGCGCGAGCGCTGCGGCTAGGGCGTCGCCATCTTTTTGATGGGAGCTCTTCGCGCCTTCACACCCTCAACTCCCGGGTCGCGCCATGTTGGTTTGGGGCGGAAGTAGCGGAGACCGGGCTCGGCCCCCTTAAAGGGACAGGGGCGGCTGTAACCTTCGGGGAGCGCTGGGGGACGAAGCGGTGAAGCCGCCGAGGCGGGGGTGAGTAGCTGGTCCCTGCGCGTTGCTGCCCCGAGGCCGGGTGTCGAGGCCGGAGGACATGGTAACCGGTTCCGAGCTCGTTTGTGCCAGAATACTCGCTGCGTTTGATGCTGCTCGTACGCTGAGTGGCTGCGCCGAAATTTTAACCCAGCCTGGAGCCGCCCGCGGGGATAAATTGCGCGCGCTCGACGCTGACCCGCACTCGAACGCTGGGACCCGCCAGGCTGTCCTCTGTGCACCCACACCCCGCACCCCCGTCCCCCGCGATAGTCTGTGCGGAGGAAGAAGCCCAAGGTAGCTTGGCCATTTATGGGCAGAGCCGGGGCTGGAACCGGGACACCGCTCAGTGGAGCCTGAGTCCTCGCAATTCCCACACTGACACTAGTAACGGAAACCACGTTAGGAAATAATCCGTACAATGGAATGCTGTGCAGCCGTTAAAACGAAAAATGTTCAATATGCACTGACATGGAACGACTTCCAAAGATACCTTAGATTAAAAAAAAAAAAAAAAGGAGCAAAAGAGCCGCGTTGATCGGCGCTACAGTTTGTGGAAAAGAACGTGTGTGAGAGTGTGCGCGTCTGCGGGTTTGCGCACCTCTGTCTGGTAACGTGCACAAGAAGTGGTTAACTGTGGTGGCCTCGGACAGGAGAACTGGAGTCCTGGGTACCCGGGCAAGGGGGGAGAATTTATTTCTTAAATAAGATGATGAAGATGTAAGGGCTCGGATCCGTCAAGACTTGAGCCAATGCCTGGGTTCAGCCCTCCTGCTGGAAGGTCTGATTTCCCCCTGTCGTTAGAGGACGGAATAAGGCTCAGAGATTAGGGATTTTAGTGATATCTCATGGCCAGGAAGGGGAGAAGCTGGAATTTGAGCCCTGGACGGTTTTACACCAATGGCCAGGGTCTCCTTATCCCACCTCCCACTGAGAAGCTTTTTTTTTTATCAACCACATGACACCCAGCGTGGGGTCTGGCACACAGGCTAATCCAAGTTTACTGTTGATTGGCTGTTTACTGACTGAACAGGTCGAACAGACCAGAGACAACGTGATGTGTAGAATGAAGAGAGGAACACTAGAGGCAAGAGCCCAGACTAGAGTCCAAGGTTTGCCCCTTTCCAGCCTGGAGACTGTGAACCTGGCACATGCCTCCCTGAGCCTCCATGTCCCCACCTATGGAACTAACAAGCAGGACCACAACGGCCACGGGTGCCCCCCTCCGTCCTACTTTGGGCTTTACATGCAGATGAGCCCCATTTTACGGATCAGTAAGTGAAGCACAGAGAAATTAAGGTAGTTGCCCAAAGGAGGTCCCCGCAGGGCCTGACTCCCCCACTACCTGAGAGAGATTGCTGGGCTCCTGGGTCTCCCTCCGCCTCCAGGGATCATCCGCACTAATGCTTTGGGAGACCTCCAGTCCTAGTTGAGCTGCCAGAGGCTGAGGATCTGGTAGAGAACAGGACAGACACACAGTTCCTGTCCTTGAAGTCTAGTGAGGGTGACAGACAATCCAGCGGTTAGCATCTCTGATGAGCTCTGTGGTGGGCAGAAGCTCAGACCTTGGGAGCACAATGGCAGGAGCATCTGGCTCAGCCCGGGTGGCGTCAGAGAGGGCTTCTCAAAGTAGGTAACTTTTAATCTGTGTCTGAAAAACGTGTAGGATACCTGGAAGGAGGAATGATGGCGCTGGAGACCCATGCAGAGGTGTGCTCATACCTGAAGGTAACTGACATGATCAGAGACCACGCAGATACGCAGGTTAGAAATGTTCAGTCTAGCATCTGCATGAATCACTCCTTCCTCCTGGAGAATGCCTTCCCATGCCAACATCTGTGGCTTTCCACCCTCCAGCCACACTTAACTTCTGTGCAAATTCCAAAGAGTAGGACTTCCGGATTTTATAATCCAGGTGGGGGCGACAAAGGAACACAGGAAAGTTAACAGCAAGGAGGAACTTCTTAACTGACACGCCTACCTCCCTCCTGGACACCCCCACCCCCACCCCTGAATACCTTCCCCCTCCAGATTGGCAGCCAACCTGCTAAAGCAGGAACTCTGCCCCTGTGAATCCAGGTGTCAGTACTGGTAGTTCCTGTCTTTCCAGCTGTTTACGCTCACATGGGTTCTCAGGTTGCCAGTGTGTTGGGACATCTAGTTAGTTCGGCATGACCCTTCCCTCCCCCAGTTCTGTAGCCAGTCACAGTTACTCCTGCTACAGTGAGAGAGGAATCACTGTCAGTACTGTCCCAACAGACGTGGGGCCACATCCCACTCCCAGATTGCGCTGCCAGCTCCTTGGAAAAATGAGCAAATGCTCATGCTACTTCCTCATTCCTGGACGATGGTGTAAGCTTTGGATTTGCTGCTGAGGCCCTTCTGTGCTTTTCTGGGACTTTGACTTCGGGTAAGTCATTTCCCTGCCCTGAGCCTTAGTTCCTGTAAAACAGATGTGACTCTCTTTAATGTTCTTGCCAGGCATTAAGTATATAAATGTATATATATTTTCCCCCATGTGTAAAACTGCCTTAAAGAGTGAGATTTCAATTTTGGATCTGGATCCTGTGCCAGGAGGAATACGAAGTGGGCTACCTACTAGGTGTCTCACTCAGGGTCTCCACTCACCAGCCACCACCCCTCTTACCCGGATACCTGCAGTCTGGGCTCCAGAAGTCATTTCTCTCTCCTTTGCCGATTCCAAAGTCAAGGGAAACTAGATGTAAGTCACTGTGCTTACTAGATCTCTCCAGACAAATTGTCGCCTCCCTTGGGGCAGAACAATTGACTCAAGTTTTCACAAAACATTTGTCTTATAGGGACTCTCTGGTTTTAGACTGAAAAAAGAAAGGAAGACGGAAAAAGAGAAAGAAAAATCAGGATTCATTATCTGGCAAGAGACTTTCCTGTATCGGCTTAAATCTTAACAGTTTTTTTTTTTTTAAGATCTTTTATTTATTTATTTGAGAGAGAGAACAAGCATAAGCAGAGGGGAGAGGCAGAGGGAGAGGGAGAAGCAGACTCCCCGCTGAGCAGAGAGCCCAACACAGGGCTGATCCCAGGACCCTGAGATCATGGCCTGAGCCAAAGGCAGACGCTCAACTGAGCCACCCAGGCGCCCCGTTTTAACAGCTTCTTATTGACAGGTTCCTGTGGGCCAGGACCTGTTCTGAATGCTTTCTGTGAATGACTGCATTGTTGTTATCCCCTTGGACAGACGAGGAAGCTGAGCCTAGAGAGCTTGCAGCATGGCGCGACCAAGGTCCCATAGCTGGTTCAGAGTGGAGCTCGGGACCATTCTATCCACATCCAAGCTTTCATTTTCTGGGATTGTTCATGTAACAAGCTGGTCTTGCCTGGGCATGGTCCTCCCCTCCCCGGACCCCTTCTCGAGAGGCACTATGGTCTGTGTCTTCTCAGTAACTAGGGGCACCTGACATTTTGAGCGCAGGGCATGCTAAACATCCTTCCAGACACCAGATAGATCTGCTCAGTAGAGAACTGACTCACCCCAAATACCATGTGTGCCCCTTTTGAGAAACATTAAAACCAACTCTCCATATTGCATAGACTTGGCTTAGATGGCATGGGGCTAGTCGGCAAAGCCAAGATTCTCTTGCCTGCCCTTGCAAGCTGCCATGTGGGGTGGAAGGGGCATGTCCGGTCCCCAAGGGCTGCTGGTCTGCAGGCAGGGGAGCTGATGAAGGCGGCTGCACCCACCTCCTGAAAAAGGGATGTTCGGGGAAAGCCTATGGACTATTGGAAACAGGCGAACCAGGATTTGAATCCCGGCTTGGGCTCTCAGCTGAGTGAGCTTTGTTTGTTCTCCTCTGACCAAGATAGGGATGATAATGCCTTCCTAGTAGGTTGTTTTAAAGATTAGGGAATTTAGCACAGGGGCCAGATGTATAGTAGTTGCCCTGTGAGTTCAGAAGAAGGCCCAGGTGGACACAGAGGCAGAGAGGAGGCAGAGCTGGGACTGGGCCCTGCTAGGGAGATAGGACTGGGAGGCATGCCAGGCAGGGGCATAGACGTCTATCCAAAAGCAAGCAAGGGGTGCCTGGCTGGCTCAGGTGGTAGAACGTGCAACTCTTGATCTCAGGGTGATGATTTCAAGCCCTACGTTGGGCGTGGAGCCTAAAAATAAAAAAGGGGCACCTGCCTGGCTAAATCAGTTAACTCTTGATATCAGCTCAGGTCGTGATCTCAGGGTCGTGAGATAGAGCCCCTTGCTGCCCGCACTGCGGTACTTCTCAGACTAATATTGGAGGAATAGCAATAACAATGATGATATCTGTGGAACACTGACTCTTTGCAGGGCACCACGCTAAGTGATTTTCATGTGTCCTCTCATTGACTTCTCATGACAACTCTATGAAGCAGGTGCTAATCATTATTCCGATTCAGAGATGATTCTCAGAAAGCCTTAATAACTTGGGGTGCCTAGGTGGCTCAGTCGGTTAAGCGTCTGCCTTTGGCTCAGGTCATGATCCCAGGGTCCTGGGATCGAGCCCCGCATCGGGCTCCCTGCTCAGTGGGGAGCCTGCTTCTCCCTCTCCTCCCCGCTCAGTGTTCTCACTCACTATCTCTGTCTCTGGCTCTCAAATAAATAAATAAAATCTTTAAAAAAAAAAAAAAGTATTGAAATTTATAAGACCCCAATCCCATCCCAGGGAAAGCCACTATTAATAACTGAGCAGTGTCCCTGGAGAGACAGCCTTATACATAATCAAGCCGTCCTTGCTTTGCACTACAGAATGAGTTTCAGGCACCAAGGTTCGGTTAAGTAACACCAGTCACTCAACAACACCGTTGCGATTCCAGCTGCGGTGTTCTGTTAACTATGAGTAATTGCACAAAGTGCGAACCTTGCTACTCTTTAGTCCACAGATCGCTATGGAAATAGCAGATGTGCTTTGTGATCCGGTGACTAATCACATCACTTCTTTCAAAGCCTGTCAGGGATTGGTCACTGTGCATGCCATTCAGTTCACACAAAGACACCAAAGCTCGGAGTTATGTTGCCTCCTGCCTCCCAGTGATAAACCCATGCGACAGGCTACAAAAATGGATCATCGGAAGAGGGAATTGGCCAACAACGACGAAAGTGCTGCAAAGAAATGCACAGAGCGATAAGACAGAGTGGGAAATTTGCATGGGACGTAAGTGGAGTGTTGAAAGAAAGCACTGGCTGTGGGAATGTGGACAGAGCAATCCTTTGCTGTTCCAGAAACTCCAGCTACGCAACCAGAGAAACTTAGTGAAGGCAGATTGACGAACATACATGACGCACGTAGTTCTAACCAAATGGATGAAGGTGTCCCAGAGGAAGGGATGCCAAGCAAAGAGGTCACATCAAAGGAACGCCCAGATATATTTCACAACAGTGAAAGCACAAGGGATGAAGGGTTTGAAGTTGATGTAAACTCAGAAAGAAGGATGTTAACTCATCAATGCTGAGAAAAGATGCTCGTTCCATATCCTAAGTTATGCGACTAGAAGGAAGCAAGCAATCACTGTTCACGCTACTCTGGATAATTTCCCCCCAGATTTATTGAGTTATAATCGTCATACATTTACAGTTTACAACGTGTTGAGGGAGCACCTGGGTGGCTCAGTCGGTGAAGCATCCAACTCTTGGTTTCAGCTCAGGTCATGATCTCAGGGCCATGAGATCGAACCCCGAGGTGGGTTCGCGCCGGGCCTGGAGGCTGCTTAAGATTCTCTCTCCCTCTGCCTCTCCCCTCCCTCTCTAAAAAAAAGAATTTTAAGGTAAAGTGCACAACGTGATGATTTGATATGTGTAGACATTGGGAAGTGACTCCCACCATCAAGTTAATTAACATACCCATCACCTTACAGAGTACCTTCTGTGTGTGTGAGAACGTTTAAGATCTACTCTCCTAGCAAATTTATTTTTTTTTAAGATTTTATTTATTTATTTATTTGACAGAGAGAGAGAGACAGCAAGAGAGGGAACACAAGCAGGGGGAGTGGGAGAAGGAGAAGCAGGCTTCCCGCTGAGCAAGGAGCCTAATGCAGGGCTCGATCCCAGGACCCTGGGACCATGACCTGAGCTGAAGACAGATGCTTAAAGACTGAGCCACTCAGGCGCCCTCTCCTAGCAAATTTAAATTCTACAATACGGTATTATCAACTATGGTCACTATCTCTATGCTAGGTCCTCAGAACTTCATCTTAGAACAAAGTTTGTACCCTTTTATCAACCTCTCCCCATTCCCCTCACCGGGTGGCCCCAGCAACCACCATTCTACTCTGTTTCTAGGAGTTCGACTTTTTTTTTTTTTTAGATCCCAAATATAAACGACACCCCACAGTATTTGTCTCTGGCTTATTTCACCAGGCATTACACCCTCCAGATTCATTCATGTTGTAGCAAATGACAGGCTTTCCTTCTTTTTTAAGGCTGAATAACATTCCATTGTATACGTACACAGACCACATTTTCTTTATCCATCCATCCATTGAGGAACATGTAGGATGTTTCCATATCTTGGCCATTGTGAATAATGCTGCAATGAACATGGGAGTACAGATATCTCTTTTTTTATTTTTTAAAGATTTTATTTATTTGACAGAGAGAGACACAGCGAGAGAGGGAACACAGGCCGGGGGACTGGGAGAGGGAGAAGCAGGCTTCCCGCAGAGCAGGGAGCCCGATGTGGGGCTCGATCCCAGGACCCTGGGATCATGACCTGAGCCGAAGACAGACGCTTAACGACTGAGCCACCCAGGCGCCCCTCCCTTGTTCCTTTTAATGGCTGGACAATATTCCATTGTATGGAACCACAATTTACTCACTCACCCATTGAGGGACATGTAGATTATTCCCACCTCTTGACAATTATGAATAACGTTGCTATGAACATCCGTATACGAGTTTCTGTGTGCACGTGCATTTCATTTCTTTTCAGTATATCCCTAGGAGTGACATTGCCAGGTTGTAAGGTATGTTTGGACTTCATACAAATTAAAATTCGTGCATCAAAGGACATTATCAAGAATATGATCAAGGTCATTGATTATTTCAATTTTTGTGGATTGGGTGAAATAGAGGTCAACTCCATTCTTTTGTATATGGCTACCCAGCTGTCCTAGCACATTTGTTGAGAAGACTATTTCTTCCTCCATTGAATCATTTTGGCACCCTGGTCAAAATCAGTTGACCAGGGGCACCTGGCTGGCTCAGTCAGTGGAGCATGCGACTCTTGATCTCAGGGTCATGAGTTCAAACCACATGTTGGGTGTGGAGATTACTTTTTATTTTTTATTATTTATTTATTTATTTTTTAAGATTTTATTTATTTGACAGAGAGAGTGAGAGAGAGCACAAGTAGGCAGAACGGCAGGCAGAGGGAGAGAGAGAAGCAAGCTCTCCACTGAGCAGGGAGCCCGACGTGGGGCTCGATCCCAGGACCCTGGGATCATGACTTGAGCCAAAGGCAGACACTTAATTGACTGAGCCACCCAGGCACCCCTGGAGATTACTTTTTAAAAAAGACATATAGGGGCGCCTGGATGGCTTGATGGACATTGGATTGTTTCCAGGTTTTTCGGTCTCACACACAATGCTGCATTAATCATCCAGAGGTATACCTCTTTGTGTATATGTGTGAATATTCCTGTAAGATAAATTTCTAGAGAGAGGAAGTATTTCTAAAGTCAAAGAGTAATGTATGTTGTTATTGTGAAGTTGCCCTCCAAGAGTTACACCAGTGAATGCTCTAACTTGGTGTTTCCCAGATCATGAATTATAACCTCTTAGTGTATGGTCGTATAAATTTGGTGAGTCTCAATCTCTTATTCTCTACGTAGCTGAGAGGCAGAGAATGGTGTTTCATTTTAAATTTGCATTTTGTTAATTATGAGTAAGGTTCGGCCTCTTTTCAAGTTTATTGACTATTTTCTTTTTTTGTGAATTTATATCTCTTGCCCACATTTTTTTTTCTGTTGAGATGTTGATCTTTTGTTACTGATTTATAAGAATTGTTTGTATATTGAGGCTCATACTAAATTAAAATGGCCTCATTACTCGTCTCCTTCATTAGACTGTGCACTCCTTGAAGAAAAGGAAGGTATCCTATTCACTGTTATATACCTGGTAGCATAGGGCATAGGCATAGCATGTAATAGAAGTGTAATAAATATTTGCTGAGGCGCCTGGGTGGCTCAGTTGGTTAAGCGACTGCCTTCAGCTCAGGTCATGATCCTGGAGTCCCAGGATCGAGTCCCGCATCGGGCTCCCTGCTCAGCAGGGCGTCTGCTTCTCCCTCTGACGCTCCCCCCTCTCATGTGCTCTCTCTCTCATTCTCTCTCTCAAAATAAATAAAATCTTAAAAAAATAAATAAATAAATAAATATTTGCTGAAGCAATGAAAAGATATGCATCTACTATGTGGCAGGCCCTGAGCCAGGTGGTGATGATAAAAAGATGAACAGAGGAGAGTCCTCGTGTGACCGAGCTCACTGTCTGGTGGGAGCAATAGACATTCATTCTCTCACTCAACAAAAGTTTCTGTAGCAGCTTACTCTCTGACTGGTGCATAATGTCCATTGGAAGAGCCAGCCTGCAGGGATGAGAAAAATGCCAGGACTGTGACTCAGGTGACCATGTCCTGGTGGAATCTGGGCTGGTCATTTCCCCTCCCTGGTCATCAGTATCTCCATCCATAAAATGTGAGTGACTGGACCAAAATCCCTTATTTCCCATTGAGTATCTGCCATTGAGTATCCATTTGTCTGTGCTTCTTCTTTTTTTTTTTTTTTTAAGATTTTATTTATTTGAGACAGAGAGAGAACATGGAGGGGGTGGGGAGGGTCAGAGGGAGAAGAAGAGTGAGAAGCAAGACTCCCCACTGAGCAGGGAGCCTGACATGGGGCTCAGCTGGATCCCAGGACCCTGGGATCATGATCTGAGCTGAAGGCAAACGCTTAACCGACCGAGCCACCCAGGCACCCCACCCCGATCTGTGCTTCTTTCTGGAAGTAGGAATCTGACCCAAGGGGCCATCACGTCACTGCTCAGAGCCTCCCCTTGCCCCACGTGGCAATGAGTATGGGCTTTGAAAAATCAGAGTCATGAGTTTATTTTTTTTAAGATTTTATTTATTAGAGAGAGAGAGCGTGCACGTGCGCACAAGCAGGGCGAGTGGCAGGCAGAGGGAGAGGGAGAGGCAGACTCCCTGCGGAGCAGGGAGCCCAGTACGGGGCTCTCGATCCCAGGACCCTGGGATCATGACCTGAGCCGAAGGGAGATGCCGGACTGACTGAGGCACCCAGGCGCCTCTCAGAGTCCTGAGTTTATTTATTTATTTTTTTGTGAGTAAAGCGATAGAAGTTTATTAAGTGAAGATACAGAAAAAGCTCTCAAGAGTGAGAGGGGTCCCGACAGGGCTGCCCCAGAGTCCTGAGTTTAAATTCCAGCTCTGCTACTTGCTAACTGTGGCTTTGGGTGTGTGACTTGGCCTCTTGATGGAGCCTTTCTCGTAGGTTTTAAAGTGATAGAACCTGTATGGTGCTGGCAGGCTGCCGGGCACAGAGAAAGTGTGAAGTCATTAAAAGGCCACTGCCATTACCCTTAGGACAGACCTCAAGGCTATAGTGCAGTTGGCCAGGGAAGACCTGCTTCCCAGAAGTTGAGGGAGAGGCAAGGGGAGTCGGAGGTGGGTTTGGCTTGGGAAAAGCAGCCTGCGGAGCCCCCAGGTGTTGTCAGAGAGGTGTCTGTGGAGGTCCCCGGGTCAGCCCAGGCAGTGGGAGGACTCTGGTCTGGAACGCCAGCAGTCCCACCGCACGGTAGGCCCGGACCAGCACCCTCCCCGCTGTGGGCCTCCTCTATGAAATAAAGCCACAGTCCCCTCTTGCCACGCAAGGGTCGCCCTGTGCCCAAATGTGTGGGGTTCCAGGGCCAGCTAGCTGGAAGTCTAGACAGAGCTGGTTCCGCGCGCCCCCTGCTGGCAGCATCCGGAACAACAAACCCCCAATCCCCTTTCTTCTCGAGCGCTCCACCTTGACACCTGCTGGTGTTCTGGATGAGAGCAACCCGCAGGGCCACCTGTGCCCTTCCTGGCCTCGGCTGGGACCCCCATGGCTTCTTCCTCCCCTTCAGATTTATGGAAACTGTTCCCACTACACCTGCATGCTTATAGACACAGAGATGTGTGCATATGCTCGTGTAACTGCTCATATTTACACGATATCATAACCACACAAAATTTACCTATGTTCAAGGTCACACTATACTTTCATGGGCCCCTTTCTCCATTAAAAAAAAAGTCAAAATTATATATTTGGCGGTGAGGGGCAGAGGGAAAGAGCGAATCTTAAGCAGGCTCCATGCTTAGCGCAGAGCCCAACACCGGGCTAGATCTCACGACCTTGAGATCATGACCTGAGTCAAAATCAAGTCAGACTGAGCCACCCAGGCAGCCCAATAGAAATTACATTTTACAACCATGTGTTATAAAGAATGAATATCATGCAGGCTGGATTCAGTATTATATATTCATCATTATTACATTCCCCCTTTTCCCCCCTTATTTTAAAGTAAATTAAAATTAAAACATTTTCATGGGATCCTCAAAGTATTGTGGGTCCTCAGCACCATGCCTGCGGAGGAGGCCTCATAGAGAAGTCAGCCCTGCCAAACATGAGTGAATTCACACACATCCAGCCCCACGTGTCATATTACAGTGATTCAATAGTATTCATAAAGTGCCCATTCTGTTATGAACATCTATCACTTACTGGGCACCTTTTATGTGCCAGGCACTAAGGGACGTGTTTTCCATAAATTATCTTGGTTTTTTTAAATAGTTTTTTATTTATTTAAGTAATTGCTACACTTCATGTGGGACTCAAACTCACAACCCCAAGACCGAGAGTTACATGCTCTTCTGACTGAGCCAGCCAGGAGTCCCTGAGTTACCTTATTTGTATTTATTTTATCCTTAGGAAAATTGACATTGAGAGAGGTGAAGTGACTTACCTCGACTCACACAGCCGAGGTCTGAGTGATACCAAGGTCTGTGTTCGAATCCTCTCCCCAGGGGACTATTCAGGGCCCAGTCCTTGCTTGGCAGGCGCAGAGCTTGGCAGGTGCAGAGCTTGGCAGTAGTAAGACAGAGTTG